TCCCCCCTCCCCCCAACTCTCATTTGCTTTGTCCTTTCAAACATTTTCAATTTATAAAGTGTATTTAGTATTTAATTTAGTACAGTTTTCCACTCAGCTCATTCTGTCATTCATATGAACACGCCTTTATTCATTTTGCGATAGTAGTCATAGTCTAATTGCTCAGTATGTGATTTGTATTCAAAGAACAATATAAATCCTGATAGACCTACATTAAGATTTAAAAGCCCATTCATTCTTGGTTTGCTTTTTTTAAATTAATCCTTTCTTTATCATCTTGTTAATTCACCCGTTCTTTCGGTCATTCAACTGTTTATCTCCACATCATGTATGTTTTCATTCTTTTCGTTCACTTTCATAATATATTATATTGATATTATTCATTCTTTCCAGCGTTATTTTTCCTCTCTTCAGTGATCCCTTACTGACGGACCCGGTATTCTTCTATGTGTTTGATTTTAATAATTTGTGCGTGCCTTTGTAACAATTGGGTTTTTTTTTCTTTCCATTTCTTTCAGTCTTTCATTTTGGACTTATTTTTGTTTTTCTCCCATTCCTTCCGTTCGTTCATGTCCTTCGTTCTTTTTTTCATTGATTTGTCCTTTCCTTCATTCATTCATCTATTCAATATTCTTGTATCTAACTGCATACGTCCTCTATTTCTTTCCTTCCGTCCACCATCCTAATTTTCTCACCAAGTTCTTCTTTCCTTGATTCATCCCTATGCCCCCATTATCTTTTCAGTACTCATTCACTTATTTATTTGCTAACGATTTCGTTTCTCATTTCATTCATTATATGACTTTCTTATCCATATTATTATTTTCAACATTATTGATTAATTGTTTGACAGACTGATACATCAACAGATAGGCCTACATTGAGCGATTGTCTTAATAATTCGTTTATTCATCATCCATCACTTCTCTAATTCTTTCATTCATCCAAGTCTTTATTTGTTCTTTCATTCACGCACTAGAAAGGGGGGCTCTCGTGCTCTAGAGGTATGGTGTTCACATCTCATTCAATAGGTCCCGGGTTCGAAACCTGACAGCTACAGAACATTATCTTCTCTTCAAAATTCAAAACTGTCGTTCCTACCAAACTGAAACTAATGCTTAATGTGTCCCGCGCGCTCATGTGACCTTGTGCAGTTGCGAGAGCCGTAAAACACTTATCAAAAATACAAATAATTTAAAAAATTAAATAACAAAAAAATTTCTCCATCCCCCAGGCTTCTCGTGGAAGAGGATCGTGACCCGCTCTCTCATGGTCGGCCTGGTGCTATTTATAGCCGAGACCATCCCCAAGTTCGGCACCATCTTATCTTTGGTAGGGGGCAGCACCATCACCATCCTAGCCTACGTCTGTCCGCCACTGTTTTACCTCAAGCTCAGCGCCATGGAAGGCCCCTGGCCTACTATGTGAGACTTGCTTATTTGTTTGTTGGTCGGTTGCCTGGTTGGTTGATTGTTTGATTGATTATTTTTGGGATGTATTTTTGATTGCTTGTTTGTTTGGTTGGATGGTTGTTTTTGGTTAGATCTATTTATTTGGTTGGTCGGTTCGTTATTCTTGGTATGTTTTTTGTTGTTGTTGTTGTTTTGTTGGGGGGGTGGTGGTGGTTGGGGGCGGGGGTTATTTGGTTGGTTGATTGGCTGGTGCATGCTGGAGTTAACAAAATAGAAGGAAAAAAAGCTGTAAGTGAGCAAGAATATAAATCTTTTGTATAGACTATGGAATGAAGTTCATGAAAGCTCCGGTACGCGATGGTTACGTAGACATATTATATAGGCCTATACATGTCTGTTGAATCATACGCCTATTAGATATACGTATAATGACTTCCCACTCCCTAC